GGGTGGTTTGGGGGGGTTCGGGAAGGTCATGCCAAGGTCGTGTTTGCCACAGTTTGGGGGTTGGGGAGGGTTTTGTCGGGGTGGCTGACAAATGCAACAGAGGTGAACTACACACACGACGAAACGAGTACAAGACTGAAAGTATAAACACAAATTTTCAAAACCATTGAGTCATTCTCCATCATCTGCAAGTCTGCAAGAAACAATCATTGCACAAGTTTTGAAAGTGTAAAATTACAGGCAAACGAAAGAACACGACGAAACAGCTGCGCCGTACACACACAACAATAAAAGACACATGCACGCTGGACTCAGTCAAATGGTGTGCGAAAGAACTGTCGAATCGTCAGAAACATCAATACAAAAATAACAGGAGAAACAAAAAATGAAACTGTGAGCACTGCACCTACTGAGCCCGTGTCTGAAGAAATACTCAAAAAAGTGCAATCCTCTACAACATCGATGATAAAATAAAACAAGAAACAAAACAAACTGCACCCGTGCATGGAAATAGTATACAATAGTCTAACCACCTATACAAATACAAATGCAGTCATGACGACTTGCACAGACCACTCCTACGAACACAAGGCCTCGTCTCAAGCACTAAATATATTGTACACTGCTACGAATTAGAGGATGAAAGAAGACTAATGGTGGAACTATGCATCATCGTTGTCCACAATGTCCTTCCTCCTCCTCTGCGGCACCACACCTATCACACCATCCCCACGACCTGTGCCGCCTGCCGGCGCGTGCGTAGTATCCGGAGCATGAATCTCCCCCTGTGGCGCTGCCTCAACCCCTCCCTGTGCTCGAAGAAGATCATACACGGAAACCCTCCTCCGCTGGCTATAAGGCATCTCCAAATCGTCTGTGCCAGACTCCCAAACGACTGGCGCCTGTGATGGTCGCTGCACTGTCGATGCCCTCACATCCTCCTGCAATATACGTGCAGCCATGCTCCTCCCGGGGGGCGCACTGTGCTCGGCGTGGTCGCCGGTGCCCGCTGTACGCCCTGCAGTGTGTGGCAACGTCGCCTCAGCAGGTGCGCTCATGGGCTGATCCGTCGCTCGGTCGGAGACCCTCTCCTGCCATCCTGCTGCGTCTGCGACAACGTCCCCGCTCAAAATCACTTGTGTCCGCGGATGTAAACCGCCCAACCCAGGCTGACTCGCCCGCATCGTCGTCTCACTCTCCTCACGGTACTAAGATTTTTCCCTGCTCTCATCTTCTTCTTCCGTGACTGAGGAGAAGGAGACTCCCCGGCAGGGGTTGGCGAGGGGCCTCGTACCGCCTCTGCCGCGACTGTGCCCTCCACATATGCGGGTGTGCTGACACCTGTGGTGGACGATGGCACTGACGGGCTGCAAGGCACGTAGGCCAGGGCCTCTGCCATCAGTCTCCTCGATGCCTTGGTCATCCGTCCCCGGTGATCTGCCTGCAACGGGTCCTCCCGTGCCTGCCGCTCCAACTCCCCCGCCGGCATGGCCCCACCGAGAGGCAAAACGCAAACACCCTGAACTGGCGACGCAAGTCTCTCGCCCGCATCCCCTATGCCCGCAGTGTCGCACTCGCCCTCTGCATCACCTGCCTCAACGCCCGTCTCGAGCATCCGCGCTACACGTGCCCTCGATGCAACACTCCGCGTCATCTCACAGCGGCTAGCCAACCCCTGCGCCCTCCTCCTCTCCTCGCGGTCGATCCTGTCCTGCTCTGACTCTGTCGCCCGCTCCTGCACAAGTCAATACTCCCCATCATCCCCAGTTGCACGCTCGTGCTGCCCCGACCGACCCGGTGCCCCCTCTGCTGCCTCCTGCAACATGCTACTACTGATGTCGCCCGTGCTGCATGAAGGTATGTCACGAAGTATCTGACTGACGGGCGTGGTTGCGTCCATATCGACACCGACACGCTCCCCTGCCGGTGTCGGAGGATGCCCTAACGAAACATCAAAAATGCTGTCGCTGAAACTGACACCCACCTGTGCAGATGGCCTCCAAACCTCTCCAGCATCGCCACTACCACCCGCAAAATGCCTGGACCCTCCGCAGACGCCGCTGCGCCCTCTGCAGACACCGCAGCGAACTCTGTAGGGGAGGGAGCAACCTCCCCAAATGCCGCAGCGAACTCTGCAGGGGAGGGAGCAACCTCCATAGGGGAGGGAGCAACCACAGCTGCCTCAGCGGGCCTCTCCTCATCAACCCAATGCACAGTGTGTGTGGACGATGCAGACTCTCGCCTTACTTTTCCTGTGCCAGCACGCCCTGCACCACCTGTGCGCCCTGCACCCCCAACACCCGGCCTGCTGCCTCCCCTGCCTGCACCACTGCATCGGTCGCCACGCTGTCTCTCGGACTTCCGCAAACCACCCACAGCCTGTCCACTGTCGCCGCCCTCGTTGTCGTCGTCGTCACCATGTCCGCGTTTCGGGGAATAACAGGGATCATCCTCCTCCTCACTGCTGCCCTCATATCCCTCCCTATCGTCGCCATCGCCGTCGTCTCCCTCGTCGACACGCTCGCAAGTCCCTCCCTGTTCGCGACGATCGGTCGAAGGGTGTGGCGTACTGCTCTCGACACGGTCCGCCGGGCCTGGCTGTGAGACGTCGGGAGCACTCGAAGGAGGGCGTGCTGCGGGACACGGTGCAGCGGCCGCCGTGGACGCACGTGTGCGAGGACGCGGAATCTGGAAGAGAGGAGTGTCGTCGTCATCGTCATTAGAACCTCCTGGCTCTGATTCCACGGCCAGGTCGTCCGGATCGGACCACGGCTCGGCCTCCATCGCGTTCTGAGCCATGGGATTAGGCTCGGGATCGTACACCGACTCCAACTCATGCGCCATGAGCACCGTGGCGCGATGACCGAAATACGTCGCGACGCCGGGAGGTGCCTTTGAAAGGCGATCCTTCCGCCCGCGCTGGACCTGCCGGTCGCGCTGTGCCTCGGTGACTCGGTCAGCCGGCCGAACACCCTCATCACGAGGCGGAGGAATAGCGTCCTCTGTCTCCTCCTCAGCATCCTCCCATGGAAGAACGTACCCAGAACCCATCCCCTGACAACGACTCAATCTCAAGTTGGTGGATATCTCCACCAAACGAGTCAGCTTGATGAAACCAAGCTGATTGCGCCTCTTCACCTGAACACGCTCATGGACGGCCCAATTCCTCTCCGCCGGAGAGGCGCACGTCCGTGTGTGCGACAAGCGAATGGCGATGCTCTGAAGGAGAGGGACCCCGTCTCCGTGCTGAACCCACCACTGCCCCACCTGTGACGTCTCCTTCTCCCCTTTGCAGGCAGCCGCATCCCTTTCTCCCTCGGCCCCTCCATACGTCCAATCGCCCTCCCGAGAATAAAACTCCGCCAGCTGCGTGCGCAACGTCTGATACAAATCCTCGTCACCACCAGTCTGCTGGCGAAGGTATCGCAACGACTCGTCTGCCAGTATCCGCTCGTGGTCGGTACGCCTCGCCGCTCCAAAAAAAGTAATGCTCCTCTGCCGCGGATTGAGGAGGTGGGCCATGCAATGTGCGGGCTCCAACAAATGAGCGACCCGCGCCTGACAAGCCTGAACAACGATGTGGAGCTCGTCCTTCGACGTCCTGTTAAGGCTTGCTCTCGCCACCCTGTCGACCATGATAAAACCCCACGACCACATGCGAGTCATCATGCGACCCCCTCTGTCCAGACGCCGTAGCAACAGCATTACAGGCGTCATGAGCGCCACGATGTCCTCCACGTGCTCCCAGAATGGCGCGTACCGCACCTGATGACGCACCCATCTGGCCTGCAGAAAAATGGACCTCCTCCATGCAGTCCGCAGCCAATCGTCGCTCATAATCAACGCCTTCAACGCTCTGCGACAATCCAGCAGCCTCTCCAGCATCAAGTAGTGGGTGGCAAACCTCGTCTGCACAGGGTACACAAGCTCCCTGCCTCACCGCTGAGACGAGGGTGGCGCAGAGCTCGAACCACCAGCCGCCGCGGAGGCGGAAGAGGGGTGGGCGGCAGAGAACCATCGATAAAGGCTCAAAGCCGCCCCGCGCTCTCTGATGAAACGCACGACAGCTCGAGCCCTGATGATGGTGTCCTCCCTCTTTCCGAGGCTCCCGTCGTGCCCATCCTTCGCGATGTCTGACAACAACAAGTTGCAGACATGGACCGCACACGAAAGCCAAGTGATGCGGTTGTTCTTGACTTCCTCCTGGGCGAGGAGCTTGGACGCAGCAACATACGCAGACGCGGAATCAGTACAAATGGCGTTCACCTTGTCGACACCAAACTTGTCGAACACGTCCTTCCATCGCTCCACTACGGCCTCTGCTGTCTCCTGAAGAGCACCATCCCGCTGCACAGTTATGAAAAGGTACGCGCCCGTGGGACCAGCAGCAAGGAAGTTGACTATCTGGTCGCTCGTGATGGACTTGCGACCATCCGTGAGGATGGTCGCTCCCGTCGCCTCAATGTCCCTGCGATGGCCGCCACGAGGTCCGCCACAACTCGCTGCTGCTGAGGGATGCCTTCGCACGAAATGACACGGTGCGTGGGTAATGCCGGATGTGCATACGGCGGACACTCGAGCAACTTCTTCCTCATCCTATGATACTCTGGCCTCCTCGCCGCCTCGAATGGGATGCCGCTCACGTACCACCACTGCAGGACGGAGTCCGAGAATTCTCGTTGCCACACTGGATCGAAGGTCTCCAGCATGGACGTCTGTCGAAGAACTCTGCTCTTTTTGGGCTCAGAAGGTGCTGATCTCGCCTCAGTGGTAGTCATCTTCGCCTTCCTCTTTCTCTTCTTCGATCCCACAGCCTCCTTCATCGCCCTAGCTGCCCCCTCTTGGCCACGACGGCCATCGCCCATCAACCCCCCATCCAGAGAGGCCCCAAGGTCTGCTCCCTCATCGTCATCATCGTCATCGGCGTCCTCGTTAGGGGTGCTGTCCTCGTCAACGGCCTTCTCCTTCCTCAACTTTCCCCTGGCGCGCTCCACCTCTCGCCGCACCTCCATGTCCTCTGCATCACTCTCACCATCATCATCTCCACCCTCGACCGCCCTCCTCTCCTCCTCGCTGTCCTCAAACTCCTCATTCCCCGCCGGCTCCCTCCCCGATCTACATCTGTTGTCTCGCAACCCACGAGACTTCAGAAAGTCCATGATCTTCCGTGCATGGCTTGGATCGAACCCGTACTTTGTCTTGTTCCATATCTCCGCCATCTGCTCCACRRAGATTTTGGGGCAATTGTTCTTGATCRTGAAGTGYTGTGCGGCTTTCGTCTGGCTCCCCTGAAAACCCTGACCACACAGCTTGCACTCCATGAGGAAATTGCCATTCGAATTCGGCATCGTCTGCCCCTTCGTAACCCA